CGGGGCGGCGCGGAGGGCGCGATCAGAGCCCGGGGGTGCCTCCGCGTTGGTATTTTTCGAGGCATCAGAGACCTGAGCCCGTGTCAGGGGGGATCAGGGGTGGAGACGCGGACAGAAGGGGAGGAAAAGGGGAGCAGCTGGGTCCTGCAGCTTAATCAATACGGGATTAAGTTAGGCTTTTAAAAGCCCCAGCGCATGAAAGGCTTAAGCATCAATTACAAACCTAGTAAATGAAGTCATAAACTAGTAATTCTTGTGTTAAACTCTGCACGCATTTTAAATATAATCAGTAATACCCCTTTCTCCGAGCAGTTTTAGGCTTACAGGAAATTGGAGCTGAAATCCAGAGTTCTGGGACCCACCCAGCCTCCCCTCTTCCCAGCGCCTCCAGTGCTACATTGTTACACTGTTGATTATGTATCAGTTGATTATGTATCAGCCCATTGTTGATGGACCGATACCGATACATTATTATTAACTAAGTCCGCAGTTGACATGAGGGTTCACTCTCCGTGTTGTCCATCCTGTGGGTTTGAACTAACGTGAAATGACACGTGTCCACCGTCACAGTCTCACACGGAGCAGTTTCTCTACCCTAGAACCCTCTGTGCTGACCTGTCCACCCCTCCCCCTAATCCCAGCACCACTGATCTGCTCACTGTCTCCATAGTTCCGCCTTTTCCAGTGCCATAGAGTTGGCATCACACAGTACGTAGCCCTTTCAGATTGGCTTCTTTCACTTACAAATACGCATTTAGTTTCCTCTGTCTTTTTATGGCTTAGCAGCTCATTTCTTTCTTTTTAATCCTCACTGAGGATATTTTTTCCATTGCTTTTCAGAGAGAGTGAAAGGGAGAGAGAGAGAGAAAAAAAAAAACATCGATGTGAAAGAGGCACATCGATTGGTTGCCTCCCACATGCACCCAGACCCGGGGCCGGGGACCGAACCTGAAACTGAGGCACGTGCCCTTGACCAGAATGGAACCAGAGACCCTTCAGTCCGCAGGCCGATGCTCCAACCACTGAGCCAAACCAGTCAGAGCAGTAGCTCATTTCTTTTTATAATATTCTGAGTAATATTCCACTGTCTGGATGGACCACAGTTTATTTATTCATCACCTGCTGAAGGACGTCTTTGTTATTTCCGAGTCTTGGCAGTTATGAATAAAGCTGCTATAAATTACCTACGTGCAAGTTTTTTATGGACGTAAACTTTCAGTTCCTTTGAGCAAATACCGAGGAGCACAGTGGCTGCATCCTACGGTGAGAGTATATTTGGTTTTCTAGGAAACCACCAAACTGCCTTGCGTCCCCACCCGCAGTGAGTGAGGCCTCGGCTGCTCCGAGTCCTCCCAGCGCTGGGTGTTGTCAGTGTCCGTTCCTGTCGCAGAGGGTTCTGTGGCTGCCTTCACCTCAGCTGCAAAGGCTGTCACCGCTGTCCCTGCTGCTTAGATTTTTCTGTGTCTTCACAAAGCCACGCCGTGGCTGCCTTGCTAATTTGGTGGCCGTTCGGAAGTGTGGACAGAGTGGGATGGGGTCCAGGCTTTTCCGTGCCCCTATGGGCAAGTGGAAC